GATCTTTGTTTTAATTTTCCTACATCTGTTAGGATATCTTTATATGTGATTGCCTTTTTCTGGTTGTAGAGATTTGGATATGATACAGCTTCTAAGGGGGAAAGCCAGCTTGGAGTTTCCATATAGTTTTGTGATCTTATTTTATTCCAAATTGAGATTAGGGCTTGTCAGATTTTATGTCTCAAAAAATATTGGTGTGTCATATGTCTACTGGGCCACAGATATGCATGCCAGCCCTGTTGTAGATCGTGCCCTTCTAAAAGTAAGTCTTTTATTTTCCAATTTTATTCAATCCTTAATCCATGTTAGGGTGGCCGCTTGATAATTAAATTCCCAACCCGGAAAACCTAATCCCCCTTTCTTTTGCATCTTGTAAATCTTTTAATTTGATTCTTGGTCTTTTACCCTGCCCCACAAAATTTAACGTTATTTTATTCAGATCTTTAAAGAAATTCTTCCCTAATTTAATCGGTATATTTTGGAATAAAACCAAAAATTTTCGTAGTATGTTTATTTTAATTGCTGAAATTTTGCCAATTAATGATAGTTGAAGATTATTCCAATTTTCTAAGTTTGTTTTAATTTGTCTCAATTCTCATAATTAGCGTCCTTAATTGTTGAACAGCATGCCAAAATATTAATTCCTTGTCTTGTACCTTTTTGTATGTAGACATTACTTGACAATTCTCCATTGATTATTATTTTTGCTTTTTGTGTATGTATTGCCATAATTATCTTTAAAAACTTTTCACCAATGTCCATGTGTGTTAACTGTTGCATTAGAAAGGGCCAGTTTACGTTGTTGAAGGCTTTCTGGGCGTCTAGAAATAATAAGGCTGCCTGTCGATTGTTATGTTTTTCATAGAATTCAAGAGCATCTAAGACTATTCTCACATATTTTGTTTGTCTATTTGCGAGGAAGCCATTTTGATCGCTATGTATGAATTCAATTAAATAATTTTTCAATCTTTCAGCTATGATTGAAGTAAATATTTTGTAATCTGCATTTAAAAGAGATATCGGCCTGTAATTTTGAATTATTGTCTGATCTCTACCTTCTTTTTTAATTAATACTATATTGGCCTTTGTCCAAGATTTTGGTATTTTCTCTTCATCAAGCACAGCATTGAAGACCTCTAATAGATATTCGTTCAGGATATTCTAATGTTCTTTGTATAGCTCTGCCAGATCCTTTGTTGTTTTTTTTGTTTGTTGATTGCTTTGGCTACTTCTGTCATGGTGATTTCTTCATTGAGCATTAGTTTCATAGCTTCTGGAGTCTTTGAGAATTCAGCTTTCTTTACATAGGTTCTAATCTTTCCTTCTGAGTAATTTTTGTTTCTTGTATATAATTTCACATAGAATCGCTGGGCAATATCTTTTTTAGAGTTCTTGTCATAATATATATTCCTTTCATCTTGTAATTTGTTTATTCATTGTTTTTCTCTGTGATTTTTAATTTTTGTGCCAACCAACGTTCAGGCTTATTAGCATTTTCAAAATTATTTCAAAATAATTTTGTTTGGTTAGTTTGATTTGTTGTGCTATTTTCTCTGTCACCAAAATATGTAGTTTATGTTTAAGAAGATCTCATTTGCTTTTCAAACTTTTGTTATTAGGTTCTTTTTGGTGCAGCGCCTCTATTTGCTTAAGTTCTTGTTCTAGTTTTTCTCAGTGTTGTTTTTTTTGCCTTGTTTCTTTTTGCTGTATAAGAAATTGTTACACCACGTATATATGCTTTAGTGGTGTCCCAGAGAGTCTGAATTGAAATATCATCTTGTTTATTTATTTTTAAAAAGATATCCAATTCTTTTTCCATCATTATATTGAACTCCTTTTCTTTGAGAATTGCCCTTTGGAAAGTCCATCTTGGTGTGGTCTTATGTCCTTTCCACTGTAGACTTATGGGGTTGTGATCAGCCCAGGTGTTAGTCTCTATAGTCACTTTTCATATTTTGGTATCTAAATCTTTGGATATCCAAACCATATCAATTTTAGACCAGGCTTTATGGCGATTTGAGTAGAATGTGTAATAATTCTCTTCATTATTCCTTTATCTCCAAAGGTCTATCAAATTTAAATCTCTAATCATTTCAGAAAATGTTTTGGGGAGTATTCTTTTTTCCCCTTTTCTTGTATGTGATCTCTTTTCCTATCTACAATCGCATTGAAGTTCCCAACTATACATAACCCGTCATACTCTATATCACTAATTATGTTATGTAGATTTTTATAGAAGGATTCTTGGCTTCCATTTGGTGTGTATATCGAGGCAATTATATTTTTATTATTTAATTTAATCTCAACTATTAGAATTCTCCTTCTTTATCTTTGTAGATCTGTTTTGCCTTAATCTTATTTTTTACATAGAGAGCCACATCTTTTTTTTTCTGATCTAGTGATACAAACAGGTTCCCTAACTTAAGTTGTTCTAGTGGATGTTTTTGATCGTGTCTTATATGGACATCTTGCAAAGCAATTATGTCAGTTTTCAATTTTTGTAGTTTGGCAAATATTTTCTGACGTTTTATTTGTGAGTTGAGTCCGTTAATATTTATTGACCAAATCCCTCATTCTTCATCTGTTTTCTTAATTGTATCTTGTTCTCGTGCTTCTCGATTCCTTAGGCTCTTCATATTTCCTTCCATAGTATTCTATCTTATCTCCATCTCCTCTTCTCTTAGGTCTTTCCGTTTCTGGTGGTCTTTCTTTTTCTTCTATTGCTTGTTCTGAGTCTCTACCTTCTGTTATATCTTTCTCTTCTCCTTGATCTCCTGAATCTTCTTCAATATCACAGTGTTGCTTGTAGAAATCATCAGCCTTTTCCACGGTGTCAAGCTTGTATCTTTTATCCTGCCAGGTTACCATTATCCATTCCAGAGTTAGCCATCTGAAGTTGATGTTATTTTTATTTAGTCTCACCGCCAAAAACTGGTAGTTTCTCTTTAAATCCCTCATTCTTTTTGGAACCTGTTTTAAAACTATTATTTGTTTTCCTTTATATTCAAGTTGTTCGTCGCGTGTTCGATGTAAAATTTAGTCTCTAATCAATTTTTTAGTGAATTTCACATGAACTTTTTTAGGGAGATGATGTCTTCTTTCGTAGCTCGTTTGGACCCTATATATCTCGTTCATATATATCTCGTTCCTCTTTCTTGGTCTCTGAAGCTCCTGCCAATAATTCGGCCATCTTCTCCGGTAAATCTTCTTCTTTTTCTTCTATTATATTTTGGAACCGAAGATATTGAGCGGCTCTCTCTACTTCTAAGATCACGGATGTTTCTAATTGTTAGTTAAGGTTAATTTCTCGTTCATCTCCATGAGTTTCTTTTCTTCTTTGGAAAGTCTTTCTTCTACTTCCACCAGTTTTTGTTCGTTTTTAGTAATTTGTACCTGGAAGGCTTCAAACTTCCCATCTATCAGTTGCATTATTTCTTTTAATTCACTTGTATCATTTCTTATAACATCAACCTCTTTTTAAAAATCTTCATGATTTTTTTAACATGGCTTCTTGATTTTTAGCATAACTTCTTGCATATTCTGCATCATTACTTGGAGATCCTTATAGGAATTAGAACATTCCCTCTGAATCATATTTTTGATCGATTTTTGTGTCAAAGGACTAGAAGACATCATAGAGACTTGTGTGGTATTTTTCTTTCCCGCTCCTATCTTTGTCAGGTTTGGGTTCCTTGCCATATTAAATTAACTATTCCAAAAATTATTTTTTAACAAAATATCCCACTTATGGCTTCCACTTCTTTGTCCCTCCACTGTTAGTTTGTTTTAAGTCTTTACTTGGGCGATTAACCAATCATGTGTTGATAATATTCTTTAACTATTTTTCTTTTGTCCCTTTGTACCCTTTATTCAATGGGTGGGGGGGGGGAGAGATTTAGTCCCTAAGTAGAGAATCAATAATCAAAGAACAACGGTAAGGATATCCCAATATCAATATTGCTCTTTTTAACTTTATAAAATTATTAGTTATAGTAATTATAACAATATTCTCATCAGTATCACCATAATATAATTAGGCTATCTTATTCTAATATCCTGTATAGCAATTTTAACAGTAGATATATCTTATATTGATGTTTAGTAATAGCTATATTCAATAGTCAGTGAGGATTTTATAGAATAAATTATAAATTATTATGAATACTTATAATCTAGAAAGATATAAAGATATTTATAGAGGTATAGAATGATTTGTAAAGTATTTCAAAAAGCAACTTAATTAATTCAATTTATATGATATAGTTATATTTCAGTACAGTACAGTTTTTCAACAATCACTTCTCAGGCTTCTAATTTCTTCTTTTGTGCTTTGGATGAAGCACAAATGTGCATTACATAATTGCCTTTTTTGATTCTATTTTAAATTTTGTGTTCCAGGTAGAAACTGAAGTCAGCGTCAATACTAAACATCAGACTTTGCAAGGAGTTGCATTTCCAGTAGCTCAGGATGCCCTTCAGGCACTAGAAAAACTGAAAAACAAAGAGCTTAACTATGTACAGTTGGTAAGATAAATTAATTCCTTAAAATTCCATTTATCAGCATTGCATATTGAATTATAAGATCAATAGGGAACCCAGACATTGTACTCCAATGAAAGAAAACAAATCTCCCTTAGTCTTATTATTTAAGTGTTATTAGTCATAAAAATATTGAGGCTCTGGAAAAGGGCATAAAAGACCAACAAAGATGATTAGAGGATAAAATATATGAAGGATAAAACATATGAAGAATGGCTGTAGGAATTGGGTATGTCTAGTCTAGTAAAAAGAAAGACTAGAGGTGACATGATAGCAGTGTTCCAATATTTGAGGGGCTGCTACAAAAAATAGGGGCGAACAAAAAACAATGGATGGAAATTATCAAGGCGAGAAGCAACTTAGAACTAAGGAGAAATTTCCTAACAGTGAGAAAAATTAACCAGTGGTTGCATTCAACAAAAAATTTTCCATGCTTCACTCTACTTTAAAGCTCCTTTTGGATCGAGCCACCCTTTTTTGTCAGCAGAGGGAAAGTTTGAATTCCCTCCCCTCGTGCTTTATTACTTTAACTTTCATTCAAATCAAGAATATATTGTAGGGGTATTCAACCTGGGCAACTTTAAAACTTCTAGACTTCGGGTTTGTCGGCTTCGGCAGCGGCAGGGATTCACGATCCTGCGCGATCCCTGTTGCGCTAGCCGTATTGGTGCCTCCGATCCGGACGGGTCTGGAGGCTAAGGTTGCCCCGTAGAGGCAGCCGAAGATAGGAGGGATCCGGACAGGGGGTTGGGGTTTTCGCAGACCCCTTCCCCACCCGGCTTAACCCTCTTTTCTCAAGGCGGTGGAGCGGCGGTCAGCAATGGCTGCCACAAAGAAGCTGACAGCTGGATAAGATTGTGCTGGAGGAAGAAGGAGAAAGTTCTGAAGCGAAAGTTTTTTGGCTGAACTGGGACTATAAGATACAAGTAATATCCTGAAAATCCTGATTTTTTGAAAGATACTTTGTTTCCAGAAGAGATTTACAAGCGGCGAGTGAAAGTGTTTAAAGAGAAAGTTTACTCTCCTTCCACATGGATTTAACAAATGGATATTGAAAATCCTGCTATTTTACAGAAGGTAAAAATTTAAAGCTTTCTGTTATAAGTGGGAAGGGAGAGGACAAAAGGAAAATTTTTATTAAGATTTTGTTGGAGGAGATGCCTGGAAGATTTTGAGATTGTGAGTTAATCGCAATAAGACTTTAAAATACAGATTGGTTTTTTTTTTCCCTTGCCAATTGATATTACCCCAGGAAGAAAAAGTGTGAAGAACTTTGTGCTCTGTTTGGATTGTTTGATGACTTTGGGTTTTTGGGGAATTGTTTCAAGCTTTGAATTATCTTGGTTGTTTTAAGAAGAAGAAGAGAAAAAAGAAGAAGAAAAGGTTTATAATGGCTTTATCTGTTGATGAACTGAGAGAGGAATATGGTAAAATAAAAAAAGAAGGTAAAGACGGTGTGAGAGAAATTTTTCGCTTTTTAGAAATGGCGCTTGCCACTTATCAACAAACACAACAATTAATGGAGGATGAAGAAGAAGAAGAAGAAGAAGAAGAAGAAGAAGAAGAAGAAGAAGAAGCCATCTTTAACGAGTCTACAAAGTTGATTAAGAAAGGAAGGAGAAAGAGAGGAAGGAAAAAGGACATAAGACTTAAAAAAACATCCAAGAAAGAGAAAAATAAGATGCAAAATCAATACAATGTTAGAAAGCAAAAGAAAAGAGAAATACAACACAGAGGGGAAGCGAAGGGGGGTAAAAAGACCAGATGGGACAAGATAGGAAGGAAGAAGGGGGGAAAAAGCCACAAAGGTATAAAACAAGATGTGAAAAAGAAATCTTTTTTTAGGGATACTGGGTAATGCATAACTTTGTTTCAAAATATTTCTGCAAGGTACATAAGATAGTATTGTAGTATTTGTAATAGAAATAGAAAATTAGAATATTATACGACTTAAGTAAAGATTAAAACACTAAAGGTTTAATAATGATAGATTTTAAGATTTAATAAAATATTAAAAGGAATGTTTAAAATATTTAGTTTAAGTATAGAGTTTAATTGATGTTTGTATGAACTTATTATTATGGTATTTGTTTTTGCAATAGATAATTGGAATGTTATGAGATTTAATGTTTAATTATATATTTAATTACTTTATGGATTTACTATTTTAGTAAGTAGAATGTACTAAGCAGAATTAGATAGGGAACTAGGTGTTACCTTAAATGTTAATTTAGGGGAGCGATGGAAAGGCATCATACTTCAATTAGTGATTTCAGGAGAAATCTTTTTTTTCTAATATGAATGAGATAAATGGATAATTGGAAAAGAATGGACAAAAGATACAAATATAATGATTTAAATTAAGATGAAATAAATAAAATAGAATTAAGAAGAGTGGAAAGCGGGGAGAAGTTATAATGAAGATATAGAAGGGTAAATAAGATAGGTAATGGCATATAAGTTGAACATGAATTTAATTGAAGTCCATACAAAGAGAGGTAATCCGGGGCCAAGCTACTTTTTAAAAAGAAGTTTTATGTTTTTGTGTTTTGTGTGTGTATGTTTGATTGACATTTAATAAAACCTTGGGAGAAAGCGAGAAGAATAATTGTAAACAAGGCAGAGGGATGTTTTATCTGCCTTGTAAAAATTGATAATGGAAAGAGGTTTAATGTCTTTAATGTCTAATGATGCTTTGTTTGTCTTTAAAATTAATAAAATTTGTTCCCCCCCCCCCAAAAAAAACTTCTAGACTTCAACTCCCAGAATTTCCCAGCCAGCATTTCCAAGGTTGAACACCCCTGATACATTGTATACCTTTTTTTTATAATCATTAATATTACATTTGTTCACAGCAAATTGATATGAACAATGAAATTATTGTCCTAGCCAGTGCACTTCCAACTGAATTAAAAGACTTGCCGAGAAGAATTCCTAAGAATTCTGCACGATACCATTTCTTCCTCTACAAACACTCACATGAAGGAGACTACTTAGAATCCATAAGTAAGTAAATACTTTCAGGCAGTCATGTAGATGGACAACTGAGTGATTAGAAGTTTTTTGGTAGGTCTTTGATCCAGTAATTTGCATAACTGCAAAATGTACTTAATTTTTTCAGTGAATGGGGCCCTAGCCTAACTACCAAGCATCTGTGTAACAGATGAATTGTGTTCTCTGATGACAGCAACCTGCACTGCCCTGCACCTTACTGCTTAGGACAGAGGTGGGGAACCATGGCCCCTTTATGACTTGTGGACTTCAAACTCCCAGAATTGAAGTCCCAGGAATTCTGGGAGTTTAAGTCCACAAGTCATAAAAGGGCCATTGTTCCCCAATCCTGGCTTCGGGGAAAGGTCACCCTTCCTTAACTTAGAAGTACTACAATAGAAGTACATAGCTATAAAGCTTGGCACACCAGTTCCCTGCTCCCCTCGCTCGCCAAAAGCACTCCTTAAAAATTGCAGACAAACCTGCCTTCCAGTTCCGTCGCGTTTTTCCCCGCAGCTCAAGATGTTCTTTCATTGGATAAATAGAAAAGCTGGATTCCAAACAGCAAAAATGTGCAGGGAAACAAAAAACACTCATGGGGCTAAAAAAATAAAGTAAAATCAGACCTTCCAACTTCTCTCGGGGGAAAAAAGTAAGATCTCGTGAAATTGGAAAGGCTGGTTTTACTTTTTAAGCCCCACAAACTTTTTTGATTTCCCTGCACATTTCTGCCAATTGGAATCCAGCCTTTCCATTCTTCCAGCGAAGAACATCTTGAGTTGTAGGAGAAATGCAAAGGAGCTGGAAAGCAGGTTTGTTTGCAATTTTTAAAAAAACAAGTTTTATTCAGTTTTCCACATTTTAACGTCTCTTTTTAGTGAACAGCATGATTACAGTTTCACATATACATACAAATATGACCATGGTTACATATTCAATTTTTATATCCAATTCCTTATCTTAACAGTGCTTTTATACATTTTCTATTTTATTGTATTATTCCAAATATTTATCTCATTATTTAAATCACTTATGATAACTTCATAATCATTATACTGTAATTTAGTACTTTTAACTGTCACATTTGTATATTTCATCTTAGATTCTAGTTAAAAAAGACACTTCTTCAATAAATTGGTTTCCCCCCTGAAATTTCAATATAAGTGCGCCACCTCTAAGTTACAAATTCATTTATTTTCACCCCTTTTAAATCTCATTAAAACATTTAACATTATTACCTAAAACATTAAACTTAATAATCCCTTTAAAACTACATAGCATATATGAATCAGATTCTGCATGGTTTTTCTCCTTTTAAATTTCATTAAATCCCCCCCCAAAAGAGGACATATTAATCTACTCATTCAAACAGTGAAACAGTCCTAAGCCCTAAAATTAATTCCATTTCAGCTCTCCTCCTATATCATTTCATTTATTTCCATATATTTAATACATATATTCCATTAAATATTCCATTCATATTTAAACCAAAAAAGCCAACATTCCAATCTTAAAAATATTTCAATATATCTAATATACTTATTCCATTATTTGTTACAATTATCTCTCTACATAAGAGCATTACACGGAAGAGCATTACATTCCATTATCCAAAAAACAACAATTCTGTTTTTCTATCTTATTAGTCTATATGTTCCTATTTCGTAACTATAAATTTATTTATATTACCCCTCAATACCTTGCAGAATTCCCTTTCTATATAATAATCACCCATTATCTGTGTCCAATTAAGCATTTCCCCATTTTTTTTACAATTCCCATATTTCTTTGTTTCCAAATCCTGTTTCTTGTCCCTTCTTTCCCCGTCTTTTCTCCTTTATTATTTCACTCCAGTTTTTATCCCTCTATTTATAGCTTCCTTTTGCCCTTTGAATTTCTGCTGACTCTTTTTCTCTTTTTTAATTTTTCAGCTATTCCCCTTTTTATTTAATTTCTTAAATCTCCTGTATTTATTTCCAACTCTTTTCTTCTTTCTTTCAAGAGTTCTTTGTTCTCGATGGTCACTAAAGATGGCCCTGTCTATGATTTGCTCCACCTCCTCTTCTCCCTTTTGTCTTTGTTGTTCATATTCTGCAGTCGCATTTTCAATAAATTTTAAAGCAAAATCCAGCAATTCACCTCGTTCTTTTAGTGTTTCTTTCGTTTTTCTGAGTTCCATTTTTAATGCCACAACAGAAATCGCCATTTTACAACTTTCTAATTCACAATTTAATCCAAATAGTATCTTTAAAGTTTATTTCCAACCGTCAACTTTTCTTCTTCTCAGGTTTTTAAATCTCCGCTAATCCAGTGCCTAATCCATGTCAGAATCAGCAATTAATCCAAAGGCAGAATCTTCCTACTTCTTTCTTTGTTACAATGTTCAAATTTTTCAAAGTTCTTGCTTTATTGTATCAATTTCCATGCAATTTCAAGAAAGTTTTTTTAAAAAAAGAAAAACAAGTTGAGTTTAACTGAGATGGCACTCTTTATTATGCTAAATCTTCACTCCCTCTTTTCTTTTTTCTTCTCTATTATCCAGAGCTTTTTAAACCACAATTTTCCAACGAGAAAAAGATCAAATCCAGTTGATATTAAATTTCCTCTTTAACAGTCTATAGTTCAGCTTTATTAGTGCCAATATAGAATCAAAATATGCTTATCCAAGTTGATTATATAGTTCCTTGTTATGTCCCACCTTCTAAAATAAACAGTTAAGGCTGAAAGCAGCA